TTTATTAAATCAGTAAATGTAACTATAAGTGACCTATAAATCAATATGGGTAATGTGAACAAATATATGGGTAATACAGACTTTTTTTCATGAATTGTTTATTGTGATTATCAAGTTTAGAAACTTAGCCTGAGATGTAGAAATGTACCTAAAGACACTCCTAGCATGTCTTCTGGCATTGGCATCTAGTTTCCCCATGCTCCTATAGATAACAACATAATTTGTTTCTTGTCTTTTCAGCGGTTATGTAAAAAGGAACAATTTATTTATTTATTTATTTTTAAAGATTGTATTTATCTATTTGACAGAGAGACACAGCAAGAGAGGGAACACAAGCAGGGGGAGTGGGAGAGGGAGAAGCAGGCTTCCCACTGAGCAGGGAGCCCAATGCGGGGCTTGACCCCAGGACCCTGGGATCATGACCTGAGCTGAAGGCAGACGCTTAACGACTGAGCCACCAGGCGCCTCTAAAAAGGAGCAATTTAAAGTACGTATTTTTCTTTCTTCTCTTTGATATGCAAAGGTAATGTGGTTTATGTGGCTTTTTTTTAAAGATTTTATTTATTTATTTGAGAGAGAGAGAGAGAAACAGCATGAGAGGGGAAAGGGTCAGAGGGAGAAGCAGGCTCCCCGCCGAGCTGGGAGCCTGATGCGGGACTCGATCCCAGGACTCCGGGATCATGACCTGAGCCGAAGGCCGTCACTTAACCAACTGAGCCACCCAGGCGCCCTGGTTTACGTTTTGAAATAAACTTTGCTCTCCTGTTCATTTAAGATTGTATCTTGCACCTGTTTTAATATCCATGGTAGCATACCACCAGCACATGTGATGGAGAACATAGGACAACTGCTCTCTGTCCTTAACCAGGCCATCGCTGATCAAAGACAGGACCCAGTGGGCAGCAGGATTAATTATACTCCAGAAAATCATGCTGGAGGAGGTCCTGGCCAACAGTCTACTTTATCTTCACATTTTTACAGACCTTTAGGCCATTGCCAATGATCTAGCTGCCTGGCACCAAGAACTCCTTATCTAAGGTCACCCCTTCGGGATAAAGCACTCTAGGATAATCATGCCCCATAACAACTCGAATACAACAGAGGGTCACATATGTCTTTGCACATAATAAAAATCACACTTGATCTTAGCCAAAAGGCCGAGAAGTGATGCACATAATAAAAATCAAACTGGAGGGTGCCTGGGTGGCTCAGTTGGTTAAGCGACTGCCTTCGGCTCAGGTCATGATCCTGGAGTCCCTGGATCGCGTCCCGCATCAGGCTCCCTGCTCGACGGGGAGTCTGCTTCTCCCTCTGACCCTCCCCCCATCATGTGCTTTCTCTCTCTCTCATTCTCTCTCTCTCAAATAAATAAAATCTTTTTAAAAAAAATCATACTGGACAGACTCATTTCAATCCTCAGGCTAATAAATAACTTCAGTTTTTGGAAACATATACTGACACTTCAGTTCCACTGTGGAGCAGAGAAAACAAACGGGGGCAAAGTGAGGTGGGCTGTGCAGTATCAAATTGGTGAGGTGCTCCTATATGCCATGGGGGTATGTGAATGGCTTATTTGAATAATTCCATGGACAAACATGGTAATGATACCCATTATGCTACTAAGACTAAAATACTAGTCTGTAAAAGTATACACCATACCATATTGGATGATTTTATACTATATACAACATTATAATACAGTACACAAATACTTCCTTTTAATGTACATGAAAAAAAGCCACAACAAAATACTAGTAAACTGATTCCGGCAATATATAAAATGACCTAAACATCATGACTACTTGGGATTCAAACCATGGAAGCAATGTTGGTTTTACAACTGAAAATGAATTAATGCAACGAACCATTAATAGAATAAATGTCAAGAACTACAGAATCATCTCGACTAACACAAACAAGCATCTGACAGAGTTCAACCTACCTTCACAAGGAAAACACTCAATAAACTGTGATAAACTACCTCAAAAAGCTACGTCAGCATGAAATAGGTAATCAATGAAAAACCCAGAGCTAACAAATACTTGATAGTGAAAAAATAAGTTTTCTAAGATCAGAAAAAAGACAAAAAAGTTTGCTTTCACCAGTTCATTTCAATGTGGTAATTGAGGTGTTACAAGGGCAATTAGGCAAGAATAAAAAAATGAAAGCATTCCAGGTTCCAGAGAACATACATGCATACCTTCCCAGGCTGACGTATGGAATCACAGACTGTCGTGGCACATTTGTGTGGACACACACAGACACCCAAATTCACGGACCCCGAGAGATAATGGCCCAGAGACACCCAGCCCAGGCCCTCTGCACTCCTCTGAAGCTTTCTCTCCCTCCTTTGGACTAAGCATCACCTGATACATTACATATCTTACTTGTATGTCTTGTTTCTGGTCTCCTAGAAGGTCAGTCTCAAGGGGACAAGGATATTTGCTTCCTATCATTCACTGAAGCACCTACTAAGAGCCTGTTACACTGGAGATCGACCCTTATTGACTAACTGGCCTCAAAGACACTCACACACCCCAACCTCATCACAGGAACCATGTCTGCTTGGCTTGATCGTAGCAGAGTGAATTGTTCTCATCTCATTCCCATGTGACAGAGAGGTGTTACCTGGCCCCCAAACAAACCCCCAAAGGAGGATCCATGTGCCCCTAGTGATGGCCCAGTGACTTCACACTTCCTGAGCAGAAACCATACAAGGCCATCTCTAAAAGAACACAACTCAGGAGCCTCAAGAGGTGAGTTGGGGCCCATGACAGCTGGAGCCACCATGTGCCAGCCCCTCATGCTGCTATAATTGCATCCAGAAACACACCCCTCATGACATTACATGTCCTCATTTTGCCTTTTTTTTTTTTTTTAAGATTCATTTATTTATGTAAGGGTGGGAGGGGCAGAGGGAGAGAGAATCTCAAGCGGATTCCCTGCTGAACACAGAGCCCCACGCCAGTCATGATCCTATGAGATCATGACCTGAGCCGAAACCAAGAGTCAGACGCTTAACCAACTAAGCCCACCCAGGTGCCCCGCATTTTGCTTTTCTATGGAGGATTCACTGAGGGGAGCCCAGATAGGTATCTCCTCCCTCAGCTGCCATGTCCTCTGCTGAGTTTTCCTCAGTATGGTATCCATGCCTGCCTGAGGTCTCACCTGTGCGCAGACCTCACTCTGGTCAGCCATGTGGGCCTGTCCTCACCGAAGCCATGATGTCTATCCTACTTAACATCTGCTGGTGGGGAGCGTGGCAGCCTCAGGACCTAGACCCCAGGTCTCACAGCCACAGAGAGGTCACTTTGTGAATTCAGGAAAGCACTGGATGCTGTTGCAAGACCACGTCAAGGCGTTCCACAACGCATTTCTGCCTCTTCAAGCATCAGGTGGTATGGCCTCTGACAAAGGAGGGCACCACCTCCTGCGCCTGGGCGCTTTTGGGAAGAAGGGAAACCCCCATGTTCTGCCACTTTTTTAACGTTGGACCCCGTTGCATTCTGGGGGCTATGTTTAAAAAGGGAAACTCAGGGCTATGGAGGGTCTGTCAGGGACCTCCATTTCCCACAGACCACCAGCCAGAACTCTGTAGAGTGAGTCCTATTCCAGAAAAGGGTAGGCCTGGGCCTTGGGGGGGGTTGGTTCCAAACTCACTCTGGAGGGAGGCTCTGAGGTGAGGGAAGCTGGGCTTAGTCAGCATATGGGCAGCTGAAACCTCAAGGTGGCCTGTGCCACAGAACTCAGGGAGGGAGGTTTAGGGACAGCAGGGCACCTGATGTCCTCCTGGGACTAGAACAAAGCAGGGTTTTCTTTTTTGACATCACTGGAGGTTTTGAGACTATTGTGAAACTGTGCTTGTTGGTGCATAGCTGATGTTTATGGGGCAGCAGGGATTATTATGCTTGAGGGGCCTGTGCCTCCTGACCTGCGTTCTGGGTTCTTCCACAGCTTCACTTCACAGTCACCTGGGATTGTAACCAAGAACATTTCCAGAGTAGTATAGGTGTTGCATTAAACTTAAACTTGGCCGGGCACCTGGGAGGCTCAGTCGGTTAAAATCCAACTCTTGATTTCGGCTCAGGTCATAGTCTCAGGGTTGTGAGATCCAGCCCAAAGTGGTGCTCTCTTCTGGGCATGGAGCCTGCTTAAGAGTCTCTCTCTACCTCTGTCCCTCCCACCGACCCTTAAATATGACTTCAACTTGTTTCTCAGCAACGTGGCACAGAGAAAACAAGAAGGTAAGAGATGGGAAACTTAACATCTGGAACTGGCCTCAAGACTGGCTCTCGGAGCACTTGATGCTGATAACCAAAGCTTTGATTAGGATAAACCCAGGCAGCTCCCACCAGCATCTCTGTTAGATGCACCTTTGTTTCAGGAAACAGTATTCTCAAGATACGATCTCAGAATCCTGTTAAAGGTGGCACCAAGAGAGTCTTATCACCTACCAGTTATATTTATGACATGAGGGTAAGTGTAGGCCTGTAGGGTGTTTTCTAACTTTAGGCTGGGTTCCAAGACAGGTCTATAGTGGCCTATGTCCTTCTTCCCCACTTCTTAGACTACTTCCTAAGAAGGACCCCATGCTGGAGGATGTTATTGCACACAAGAAATCAGAGTTAGGGTTTTAAAATTTTCCTAGCATGCGAAAACATTTTTACTATTTTTTATTAATTGCTTTTAGTAAATATACACATATAATTTAAGAGTAGTTATGTATTTTCTTTTAAGATTTTATTTATTTGACAGAGAGCAAGAGCAGGAACACAAGCAGGGGGAGAAGGAGAGGGAGAAACAGCCTTCCTGCCAAGCAGGGAGCCTGATGTGGGGCTCGATCCCAGGACCCTGGGATCATGACCTGAGCGGAAGGCAGACACTTAACAACTGAGCCACCCAGGCGCCCCTATGCATTTTCACAAATGTATAATTATAACACTCTCAAGATAGAGAACACTCCATCATCCCAAAAGAACACAGCCAATAGTGGTATTAACAGAAAAATATGTTTACTATACAAATTAGACTTTATATGAATAAAATCCAGAAAAGGGGAGTAGCACTTCAGAGAACATTGTCAACCATAACAATCTACATCTGTGGATACCTGGGGGCTTGCAGGAAAATTTAAACCCATGGTGGATCTTTGATGTAGAACTCTGGAGACAAGTGTGAAGCCTACTGCTCAGATCAAATGGAAGTCAAGCAGTTGGTGGTGATTTTCAGATTATTCTTGATTGCCAGGGGAAAAAATGAGGAAAACAGGCTGGGAGCACGTGTCTGTGAAGGTGTATGCTTCTACCTACCTCTCTATAGGTGGCTGAGAAATGTGCCTAATCCTATTTCACTTCTGTATTTACAAGTTTCATATAAATTAGGCCTTGGTGAATTCTAACATGAAACCATAAATGCAACAGATTCTAGGAACAGTAGTTCTCATTACTGACTTCGACATTAACAGCACCAAGGAGGGTCATCTCCAACTCTAGATTTATTGTTCTATCTCACACAGGCCTCTGTTCTTAATGTAACTCTATACTCCAAATCCCAGCCATAACCAATGACAAAGAACAAAGGGCAAAAGAAGAAAATAATAATTCACATGAGAATATACTGTATGATGAACTTTGCATACTCACAACTATATGGCAACTATTTAGGAAAACAGAATAGGGCTCTTCAGGGCAATGAGAAGGGAACTTTCTGATAATAAAGAAATGCAGAATATAGAAATAATAGCTAAAGCATATTGAGTACTTGCCCCACAGGAGGACACCAGGGAAAGGAAAATATGAAACTATTACTTTTCAACAGTCCTTATAGAATTTTAAATACAAAAATTAAACTTACTTGCATATTAGAAATACACTTCAATCACCCATGGATCCAACAGACTTCAAAATAAGAATACAAAAATATTACTAAGGAAAAATTTACTTTCTAAACTTAGGAACTCTCACTTTAAAAGTACCTACATAATTATCTCACTTCAATATCTGCTTGCAAAAGTAAGTGGAAGTCCACGGTACAGAGAATTACTTTAAGAATGAATACGTGATAAAGACCATATAACATTTATTACATTTCTTTAATGTTGTGGATTTTCAGAAGTATTCTACATGAATTCATGTTCACAAAGCTTACCCATATTACTTATTTCTTTCCCATATAATTTTCACACTACCTTGAAAATATCTGTAAAATTATAGAGTTTTTATTTTTTAGTTCTATAGTATGAATTCAGTGAATAATCTAACCTGGTTTTTCCATGATGTGGGACAAATGGAAGATTTCCTACATTGTTTACGACCAATGGAATTCTCTCCACTGACTTTTTTGGTAAGTTCTGAAGAAAACAGGCTTTCCTACATTCCGTACATTTCTGCAATTTCTCTCCAGCATGCATGAAAGACTATACAACAAATGACAGCTTTCTTACATTCCTTATTTTCACAGACTTTCTTTCACATGAGTTCTTTCATGATTTCGTAAAGAATTAACAAGACTGAAGGCTTTGCAACAAGTTTTACATTGATAAGGTTTCTCTCCAGTGTGAGTTCTTTCATGCGTTCGTAACGAACTGGGAGAAATAAATGCTTTCTTACATTTCTTACATTTATAAGGTCCATCTCCAGTGTGGATTACCATGTGTGATCGAACACCTGAGCGAAAAATGAAGCCTTTCCCACATTCCTTACATTCATAAGGTTTTTCTCCAGTGTGAGTTCTTTCATGTTTTTGAACATAATAGTGACTGCTGAAGGCCTTACCACATAGTTTACATTCATAGCGTTTGTCATCAGTATGAGATCTCTCATGTTTGCGTAAGTTACTTGAATATCTGAAGACTTTACCACATTTTGTACACTCATAGGGTTTTTCTGCACTATGTGTCTTTTCGTGTATTCTAAAGGACTGGGGACAACTGAAAGCTTTTCCACATTGCTTACATTCATATGGTTTGACTCCGGTGTGAGTTCTTTCATGAATTCGAAAGTAATTGGGACAACTGAAAGCTTTCCCACATTCCTTACACTTATAAGGTTTCTCCCCAGTATGAGTTCTTTCATGATTTCGAAGGGAACTGGGATAACGGAAAGCTTTACCACATTCCTTACATGCATGAGGCTTCCTTGCAGTATGAATTCTTCTGTGTTTTCCAAGGGACCTAAGAGAACTGAAAGCTTTACCACATTCCTTACATTCATAGGGCTTTACTCCACTGTGTGTCATTTCATGACTACGACAGTTTTTGGGACACCTGAAGGCTTTCCCACACTCTTTACATTTATAAAGTCCATCTCCACTTTGCTTGATCATGTATCTTCGAAATTTGGTAAGAGAATGCAAGGTTTTCCCACCTTCCTTACATTCATAGGGTTTCTCCCCATTATGACTTCTCTCATGTTTACGTAAATTACTTGAATAACTGAAGGTTTTACCACATTTTGTACATTCCTTAGGCTTTTTGGCACTGTGTATCCTTTCGTGTATTCGAAAGGACCTGAGACAACTGAAAGCTTTACCGCATTGCTTACATTCACTAGGTTTCTCTCCAATATGAGTCCTTTCGTGTTTACGTAAGTTGCTTGAATAACTAAAGGTTTTACTACATTTTGTACACTTGTAGGGCTTTTCCCCACTGTGTGCCCTTTCATGAATTTGAAAGTAATTGTGACAAATGAAAGCTTTCCCACAGTGTTTACATTCATAGGGCCTCTGTCCAGTGTGTGTCCTTTCATGCATTCGAATGGATTGGCGATGCTTGAAGGATTTCCCACATTCCTTACATTTATAAGGCTTCTCTTCACATTCCTGATACTCATATGGTTTGTGGCCAGTGTGAGATCTCATGTGCTTGTTAAAGGATGAATGATACATGAAGACTTGTCCACACAAAGTACATTTACGTAGTTTTATTCCAGTAGGACTTTTCTTCTTCTGATTATGATATGGAATCTGGCTGAAGCTTTCTTCATACTGACTACATTCTTTACTTTTACAGAGTCTTTCTACCATTTGACTGCTGTAAAAAATGGGAAGCATATTAATAGCTTTATTATTAATGATCTTATATTTATTAATTATGACAGTGACTTTTTTACCATCTTCAAGGAAATTTAGGTTTTCTGCATATTTTGATTGTTTGAAAATGAACATACTGACAGCTTTGCAACAGGGCTCCATCTTAGCTATTATCAAAATAGTAATATTCATAAATGTTATTTCTACATGCAGTTTCCAGATATAGTTTTTCAGAAACTGTACATCTCAGTCACATGTGAGAAAAAAATTTTTGGTGAAAATATCCTAAGGATCAATGAATTTAAAGCTGGGCTGATTTATTTGCTTGTTTTTTTTTTAAGATTTTTTAAAAATTTATTTGACAGAGACAGTGACAGTGAGAGAGGGAACACAAGCAGGGGGAGTGGGAGAGGGAGAAGCAGGCATCCCGCCGAGCAGGGAGCCAGACATGGGGCTCGATCCCAGGACTCTGGGATCAAGACCCGAGCTGAAGGCAGACGCCTAATGACTGAGCCACCCAGGTGCCCCTATATGCTTGTTTTTAAAATTTCGTGACATCTCTAGATTCTCTAATGAAACCTTGTTTTCTTATGTGAATGCTACTCACCTTAGATCTGTCCCATGATTTTCATTCTGATCTTCCCTGTCATGGATTTCCCATTTTTCTTCTGAAATACACACTAGGAAAAAGCAGTATAAATTATAAAAATTTATAGAAAAATTGTTAGAATTCTAGGTTCATGAGTTGTGACCATGGCAGGTTTATTAATGAAAATATTCCCTTTCCATTTGTTTCTCTTGAAATAGCAAGTTACACTGGATCTCTAATTGATTTAGTAAGTAAGAATGTCGTCATCCCTACCTATTGAGGCCAGGTTCCTGAAGGTTTCCTGCATCACATCTCTGTAGAGTTTCTTCTGGGATGGATCCAGGAGAGCCCACTCCTCCATGGTGAACTTTACAGTCACATCCTCAAAGGCCACTGAGTCCTAAATAATCCCATATATGTACATAGGATGGGTGAGATGGACCACTGAAGATCTATACTCAATTTTTAAGTAGTTCACATACGATTTCCAGAGCTTAAGTAACCTAGGTGGACAAAGGTATTTCTTTCCTTCCTGTTCCAAAGGTGGGGCATTGTAAGGATGATAGGGTTTTCTCACTCCTGACACCAAATATGTGGTATTTGTTCCAAAGCCACTTCTCCAATTCTGTGTCACCAAAAAGGTGTCCAGCAGTTCAATTCTAACATAAGCTACCCAGAATTTAAGTCAGATTCATAGTTTAAGAAGTCAGTCCCAACACTGCCCCTATTTGTGATACCATCTACAAATGGGGAGCCAAGTTTACTATTTCGACAGCCAACTACCAATTCAGATTCCCTCCACACTCTGTCTTGTTTGTTAATTTACTGAAATGATTTTGGGAAACTTAGCAAAATGCTGTATTTACCATTACCAGTTTACTGTAAAGCATACAACGCAGGAACAGAGAAAAGTTGCAATGCATAGGACAAGTTAAGTTAGTGGTATGGGTAAGGGTAATAGAGAAGGGGGTGTGCAGAGCTCCTACCTCACTATGGACACACCAACCTCCCAGCACCTGGATGGATTCACCAATGCAAAAACTGTCAGAATCCTGTCTTTAAGAATTCTGATGGAGGTTTCATTACATGGACACAATTTATTAAATCATTGGCCATTGGTGATTAACTCAGTTTCCAGCCCCTGTCCTATACCCAGAAGCTGGGAGCTGCAGCTCAACATTCTAAACATTTAATCAAAGCTTGCTATTTCAGGGGGCACCTGGGTGGCTCAGTTGGTTAAGCGTCTGCCTTTGGCTCAGGTCATGATCCCAGGGTCCTGGGATCTAGCCCCACTCAGGCTCCCTGCTCAGCGGGGAGTCTGCTTCTCCGTCTCCCTCTGCGCCTCCCCCTGCTCCTCCTCTCTCTCTCTCCCTCTCAAATAAATAAATAAATAAATAAATAAATCTTAAAAAAAAAAAAAAAACTTGCTATTTCAGGTATCCAAAACCCCATCATAAAAGCTACCTAGTAAGTGGCCAAGAGTTGCCTCATTAAACAAAACACACTCTTTCACCATTAACACTCAAGTAATCTCAAGAATTCAAAAGGATTTTGCTAGGAACTGAGGACACTTACCATATATCTTTCTTATCATATCACAGTAGGTCAAGCCCAGGGACAAGGGCCCACTAAAAGATTGAGAGCAAATCACTGAGGTAAGAGAATACCTCCCCACTGACCCCACGTACCTCTACATCAACTGGGATGTTATTTAATATAAGTGCACTATTCTGAAAAAACTACATGCTTTCTGGTAACCTTAGGATGAAGGCAAGAATGTCCCCTTTTACTACACTTAGATGACATTATACTGGAATTCTTAGCTAATGCATTCAGACAAGGGGAATAAAAGGTAAATAATGAAAAATCAAAGGTATACATTTGGGGAAGCAAGAAATAAAACTGTCTTTGGGGGCACCTGGGTGGCTCAGTCATTAAGCATCTGCCTTCAGCTCAGGTCATGATCCCGGGATCCTGGGATCGAGCCCTGCATCAGGATCCCTGCTTAGCAGGAAGCCTGCTTCTCCCTCTCCCACTCCCCCTGCTTGCGTTCCTGCTCTCAGTGTGTCTGTCTTTGTCAAATAAATAAATAAAATCTTTAAAAAAAATAAAAAAATAAAACTGTCTTTGTATCATGACAAGACTGTCAATTGAGAAAATGTCAAAAAAATCCCAAATAACAAAGAAAACCCCATGAACCAAGAGGTAAAAAAAAAAAAAGGATAAAAAGCTAGGGGAGCCTGGGTGGCTCAGTTGGCTGAGTGTCCATCCAACTCTTGGTTTCGGCTCAGGTTGTGATCACAGGGTCATGGGATCAGGCCCGTGGGGCTCCACTCTCAGCAGGGAGCCTGCTTTTCTCCCTCTACCCCTTCTCTCCCCTTGCTTGCACTCTCTCTCTCTAAAATAAATAAATCTTTCTAAAAAATAAATTTAAAAAGTTAAGGGGCACCTGGGTGGCTCAGTCAGTTAGGTGTCTGGCTTCAGCTCGGGTCATGATCCCAGGGTCCTGGGATCAAGCCCCACATCAGGTCCCCCGCTCAGCAGGAAGTCAGCTTCTCCTTTTCCCTCTGCCCTTCCCCCTACTTGTGCTCTCTCATGTGTGCATTCTCTCTCTCAAATAAATAAATAAATAAAATCTTTTCTAAAAAAAGTTAATATTGGGGTGCCTGGCTGGCTCAGTTAGTAGAGTGTGCAACACTTGATCTTAGGGTAGTGAGTTCAAGCCCCACATTGGGCATGGGGCCTACTTCAAAAAATTAAAAATAAATATGTAAAAAGTTGGGGTGCCTGGGTGGCTCAGTTGGTTAAATGTCTGCCTTTGGCTCAGGTCATGATCCCAGGGTCCTGGGATGAAGCCCCGCATCAGGCTCCTTGCTCACTGGAGAGCCTGCTTCTCCCTCTCCCTCTGCCTGCCGCTCCCCCTGTGCTCTCTCTCTCTCTCTGTCAAATGGATAAATAAAATCTTTACAAAATATATATATATATATAAAGTTAATACTGAAAAGGCAATTGCTTTCCTACAGATCTACACAAATATAGTGAACTCATCTTTGACAAAGAACCAAAGATAACTCAATGGAAACAGTCTTTTCAACAAATAATGTCAAAAAGCTGGACATCCACATGCAAAAAAAGTTTTAAATCTACAGACTTTACACCCTTCACAAAAATTTACTCAAATTTGATCACAGATCTTAGTGTAGACTGTATAATTTCAACACTCCTAAAAGATAAAATAGGAGAAAATCCTTGTGATATGGTATTTGATGATTAATTTCTTTAAAAAACGAAAAAAGTTTTCATTACAATGAAAAACTACTCAGTGAAACAGAAGTGAACAGAATGAAAACACAAGCCATAGTCTGGCAGAAAATCTTTTGAAATCACTTATCTGATAAAGGACTGGTATTGAACACAAGCAAAATACTCTTAAAATGCAACAAAAAGAAACAATCCAAATAAAGATGGGAAAATATCTGAACGCATACCTCATCAGTGATATAGACAGTAAATAAGCACATGAAAACAATTTCAAAATCATATCTCATTAGGAAATTGCACATAAAAAGAACAATGAGATGTCACCAGTTGCTTATTAGAATGGCTAAATGTCATGAGAACATCAAACCTTCATTGCTGGTGGAAACGGAAAATGGTATACCTACTTTGGAAGAAAGGCAGTTTCTTAACACTAAGGCTACATTTACCACACTATGCAATTATGTGTTTCAAATGTACACAAATGAATTTTAAACTTATGTTCATAAAAATCCTACATGTGGATGTTTATAGGAGCTTTATGCACACTTGTCATGACTTACATGGAACCAAGATAATTTCAATAGGCAAAATGATAAAAAAAAAAAATCACTGGTATATCCACTGGATGAAATATTCTACAGTGATGAAAGAAATGAGGTTATCAAGGGAAAAGACATGAGAACATTTTAAAATCATATTCTTTTTTTTTAAAGATTTTAGTTATTTAATTCGCAGAGAGAGAGAGAGAGAGAGACAGCGTGAGAAGGAACACAAGCAGGGGGAGTGGGAGAGGGAGAAGCAGGCTTCCAGCCGAGCAGGAAGTCCAAAGCGGGGCTCAATCCCAGGACCCCGGGATCATGACCTGAGCTGAAGGCAGTCGCTTAACCAACTGAGCCACCCAGGTGCCCCTTTAAAATCATATTCTAGGGCGCCTGGGTGGCTCAGTCGGTTAAGCGACTGCCTTCGGCTCAGGTCATGATCCTGGAGTCCCAGGATCGAGTCCCACATCAGACTCCCTGCTCAGCAGGGAGTCTGCTTCTCCCTCTGACCCTCTTCCCTCTCGTGCTCTCTATCTCTCATTCTAAGTAAATAAAATCTTTAAAAAAAAATTATAAAAAATAAAATAAAATAAAATCATATTCTAAGTGAAAGAAGACAATATAACAAGTCTACACACTATGATTCCAAGCATAGGGCATTTCCCAGAAAAGAGAAAATTAAAAAGTATCAAAAGATCTTTGGTTGGGCGACTGCCTTCGGCTCAGGTCATGATCCTGGAGTCCCAGGATCGAGTCCCACATCGGGCTTCCTGCTCGGCAGGGAGTCTGCTTCTCCCTCTGACCCTCTTCCCTCTCGTGCTTTCTATCTCTTGTTCTCTGTCTCTCAAAAAAAAAAAAAAAAAATTTAAAAAAAAAAAAAAAGATCTTTGGTTACCTGGGCTTTGGGTGGGAGGGAGGGGTGAATGACTAGGTAGAGAACAGGAGATTTGTATTCCATAGGATACAAAAATGATGGAGACAAGTCATTTCACATTAGCTGAGGACCTGAGATTATATAACAGAGTCAACCTTAATGTCTGCATGCCTTTCATGCATCAAAGTTGGTTCAACAAATGTAACAAATGTATTACAATACAAGATATAAAATATAGAACTGTGTCCAGGTAGAGGGGTTATGTGGGAAGTCTCTATACTTTCTGATTAAGTTTCCTGTAAACCTAACTGCTCTTAAAAAAAAAGTCTACTAGGAAAAGAAAAAGACAGATGCATTAATATTCACACCTGATAACTGACCCATGACAGGCATAGACCATCTTTCAATGTATTCCAACTTATTTCAGTAAGCCATTATGGTGCTTTATGACTTCTGCACCCTGAGACTTGGAAGAGAGGAGAAACTTCCATTGAATGCCTTGTTAGAGTGTCCAGCACACTGTATTTTGAGAAGTGAGTTTGAAATGAGTGCCTTTGTTACTATCAGTACCATCCGGACTCAGACATCGATTATATGTGTCCTGGCAAGGCCTTGTATTCTGGCCTTAATATATATACAGACAAGTGTTACTGTGATTTATATTGGGGGTAATGGAGACACAGGATTCCGTTCTTTCCACCCCAGTGTGGCAACTCAGAGAATCAC